CTACATGTCCTGTTTTCAAAATTCTTATTTAAGCTTAATTTCCCCTCGGTATTCAAATCATTTTTCTCGATCATAATTCTCCCAAAATTAATTACCTTTAAATGTCCAAACTTTCCATTCCCATACATTTCCCCCCTTAATTTTCATTTAATTTGTATTAGTTTTCAGTATTGAAATTCTAATGTTTAAGAAAATTACTCAAGAAAAAAAATTGAATGATTCCCTTAGGTCTACTATTTGTGTTCTGTAATGGAATGTATAGGGAAACTTTAGCTTGTTTTTAGCAAAATGTCATCATGTAAAGGGAGCTGCATAAACTGAAAGGCCAAATCAGCTTCTTGTCAAAATTAATTAATTTTTAATAAATATTAATAAATAAAGTGTTAATAAATAACATCTCCTGTCTTGAAGACGACGTTTCCTGTTACATGATATCAAAGGGTAACTCTCATTCAGTCTACCCTCACCCCCCACCCCACCTTTGTCCCTTTGAAACCTTCCTTTTTCTTTCATCTAATTCTGGGACTTTCACTTCATCAGTACTCTACAGAACACGAAATGCTTTTTTAGCATGACAAAAGCTAGCAGGGAAAGTGAAGCAGCTTTTTAAAATGCAAAGTATACAAGTTAGTGGCTCAGTTCAAAACATCAAAGACTTTTTATGAGTGAAAAGAGAGTCAGCTATCTTAGAAAATAGGTCTCCCTACTTAACAGACATCTGCTGGGATTAAAATTGAACAAACATTGAACATTTTCCGTCTGAGAGAGTGTTAAGAAGAAATAACTGAATGATTTATACAAACTTCTGAGCGCTGAAGGAGTTTTTTTCCACCCACAAGTTAAACTACCAGGCCATCCCTGCTTAGTCCATTCTCCTGCCTCTTTATGTGGAAGCAATAGGATCATTCAGTCACAGCCAAAAATGAAAAGAAGTAAACTGAAGGATTGGACTTTAGTGATGGCTGATAGCTTTGAAAGCAATCCCAAAATAAGGATTCATACTGAGATTCTAGAGCCAACTATTTTATATGACTAGAAATTTTGGTTGGGACTTTTATTATTCTGCAACTTTTATTCAGGATACAGAATAACAGTATAACAGAGTTGAAAGGGACCTTGGAGGTTTCTAGTCTAACCCTCTGGTATAGGATTTCCTGCTCAGGCAGGAAACCCTATACGATTTCAGACAAATGGTTGTCCAATCCCTTCTTTAAAATATCCAGTGTTGGAGCATCTACAACTTCTGGAGGCAAGTCATTCCATTGATCAATTGTTCTGTCAGGAAATTTCTGCTTAGTTCTAAGTTGCTACTCTTCTTGATACTAGCATATGTTTTCCCACAACATATTTACTGTATGCCAAATTCTAACCTATATGAAGATTTGGTTTTCAAACTTACATTTCTATTGGATTTCTGTTCAATCTATTACAATGATGTAGTAGGGGTAGGCAACACTTCAGATTCAGATATACATATGGTCCCTGTCTGCAACTCCTTAAATTAACCTTTCCCCCTCTCCAGGTTCACACAGGTATCCTTGATACCTACACACTTGCAGCAAAAGGCTTATTTAGTTTAAGATGGCAAACAGCTGTTACACAGGGCCTTATGCAACATTGCACAGCCCCATTATCTATTAATTCTAATCTACCCGTTATCTTCTACCTGTTATGTCTGTATGTTTAATAAACTTCCACACATGCTAAAGCACAGCTTATGATAATAATGTGATTGTTTCACACTGTGTGACTCATATTTTTAAAGAAGACACACTCCTTATCATTATGTAGCTGTCTTCATATAGCTCACTAACTTGTCAACTAATCATAGCCTAGACTCTTGTACAAATTCAGGCAATGTCTTTATAGTATGGATAAGTCTTATGAATCCCCAAAATTGGGTTAAGTGAATTATCTTTAAATGAATTATGGGTGTGTATTAAAAGCACCATCCCTAAATAGTAGTGATTTTTCAATTGTATTCAGCTGTTAGGAGAAAGATTATCAAAGTAACTAAATGTATTAAACACTTTTCTTTCACACTTTCCCCAGCTTGTTGTATCAGTTTAACATAACAACTCAATGTACTTTATTGGTCTTCTACCTTATGTCTCCAGGGAGATTTGAATCTACCTCTCTGCTAGGTCTCATTGTACATTGTCAGGGTAGCATGTAAATGTTAATTTGGATATACTGAATAAAATATAGCAGAGAAATATGTAACAATACTGTGAAATGAATGGTTCTAATGCAGAAGAAAATATCTAGCATTTCTCCAATGCTAGGAAGGATGGGCAAGGTTTGATCCACAGAGATTGCTGATTGGTGAAATATGGGCACTTGTTGTCCAAGAATTTCTGGAGAATTGCATGCTATCTCTGTGTATTGTTAGCTGAGTAATAGCAAGGAAACAAAAAATGAAAACTCATAGTGCAAAGACTCTTTGTATAGGTGTCAATATGTTTATACCAACACAGGAATACAGGATCAGAAGTAAATTAAAATCAAAGATATCATACAGATTTCTTAATATTTAGGCAAAAAGGGTAAGATGAGATGAATAAAGGTCCCCACATTTGCCACTGCCTAAGTTATGATATCTTGACATAAATTGCACATTTCAAAACAAGAGATCAAATCTTAATCTGAAGTAAAACTTTATTTGGAAAGCATTTAAATTTCATTCCTAGGACTAGATGCATTTTATATCTATGGTCAAGGGCTTTTCCTCCATACACTCTTGTTTAAAATCTGCAATTTCACTTTGTTCACCATGAGATCAATGGGAGAAGTTACACAATGGGTACTTATTCTCATGACAAAGCTCCCCAGGGCCATCTGTCTGTGTTGTATTCTTCAAATGATTCTCCAACCCATCTTCATTCCATGTGTAGGTGCCAGTGTAGGTGACAAATGTAATAGAGGAGATTTATTTGCTGGATTTCTATGCTGCTTGAATTGAAAACAGCCCAGAGTCACCCCCATATCCTATTGATCTAAAGAGGTTCTTAAGCTACAGTTTATAAAACATAAATAATACAATCCAAAACAGAAGAGAGCAGGAAACCAGAGATTAAATAGAAGTCTATATTTGTTAAACTTCAGATTACAAAAGGAGATATTCACAACCTTCCTTCCCCTAAGATCTGTTGAAAAAAAACAGATTTGGGTGGCCTTTCTAAAACCTAGCAGGGTATGGTTCAGATCTGGACTTTGGGGAAATGCTACTTCAAATGACAGTGACTGAAAAGGCATATCTCCAAGGCCCCTGAAAATGGCAGTCATTAAATGAGGGAACTTAAAGTAAGATCTTCTACAAGATCTTATGGATGGATGGATTTGGAGGAGGCAGTCCTGAAGATATCTAGAACTTCTATCTGGGGAATTCTCCTTATTGCAAACCAACTCATTCACTGATTGAACACTTTGCAAGTGATTGCAATAAGGAGACAACATGTGGTTTTTAAGGTGCATTCAACATGAGCCGATGACTCTGCGGCCTAACAAAGTGTCGAATGCACCTTAAAAACCACATGTTGCCTAATGGATAATGTTCAGCATAAAAAGCTAGATTTAAAAAAACACAAATAGAGACCCAATCTTGGTGTCAATATGCAATATGTTTGGATGAGTAGTAAGGATCCTAGCATAGTGTAATATAGCATTTACTGGCCCCAGCACTTCAATATGAAAAATACAAGCTGGCCTGAGGATATAGAGCTGGGCTATTGCAACATTACTTCTTTTACCAAAATGTCTTTGGATCCATTCCTCAACACACAAGTCCTTGAAGTGTTAATAGATTCATCAAAGGAATGTGAGAATACATCACTATCCATTACCAGTCCTTGCTTTGGAAAAAGTGGAGGGAACTGGGATGTTCCTGTCACCCTCTATCCAATAAGCACTATTTAAACCTAAACTTATAGGCATTACAATCAGATCATAAGAAATGCTGGATGGAGGTAAGGTCCAGAGGTATTTGGGACAAAAAAAGTAGCTGTTAGATGGTGGGTATCAGAGAGGGATCCAGCACCTCAGCCTTTGTAACTTTGCAGGAGATTCAGCACTCTCTTCAACTTGGTAGTTGAAGATTCAGAAATGATATAAGTGGATTCAGAAATGATATCAGTGGATGGATGGATGGATGGATGGATGGATGGCCTGCCTTGGGTACAACTATTAATTCCCTTTTGCTGTTATTTTAGCTTTTTTTAAAGGTAACAATGATCTGTATTAAAGGAAAGAGGTAAGAAAGGAATAAGGTATAAAATGTATTATTCTTTAGAAATAGATTATTTGTGTAAGTGGCAGCAAAAGGCCAGATTGGCTCAGCAGATGAAGTGTTAGGCTTCTGTCTAGATTAAACCATTAATCTATAGGCTAACTGTGATCACTTTTACACTGTCAGGAATCCCTGTGTTTAAAATGAATTTACGAAAGATCCAGAATATAATAAACATCTATCAAAACTACAAAGTATTTGCCTATTACAGTCAATGCAGAAAATAAATTATCATTATTAACAAGTTGTTCTATGGACACAATAGCTCACTCTTTTCCAAAGTGAAAGCCTCTAGTTGTGTTGGGACTACATTTCCCAGGACTCCTGAGACATCATGGTTCTCCAGGACAGTACCCAGAATCCTCAGCCATCATGAACTCACCAATATATCTGTAGGTCTGGAAAGGCCCACAGAAACCTAGAAATTATATTTACTTTCCTTGATGCATACAACTCACTGATAGTTTATAATGTACTATGTCGCTTGCCTAATGAGTATTTTTAACATGCTTTAGTGAGGAATTTTGCAACAAACATTACACTCATTTCTACTGGAAATACAGAACTCCTGTACTTATTTGCAAAGGTTGGAATCTCAGCTGAGCTGTAAATGGAAGTCACACTAACAAGAGAAAAGAAGTTGTTATTATTATGATTAGGTGTTTCTGCTTCAGAGATGAAGCGGCAGCAATGTTTGTTTATACAGGGCACTTACCTCGAAATACATTAGGGAAGGCATCAGTAGAAGGTGACATTCCTGCAAACTTTCTCAAATGATTCAAAGGCACTCTTTCCCCCTGGATACCATCTCTGGTCTGCCTGTGCTCCAAAAAATCCGCAGAGCCTGACTTTTGAGCTATTTCACTGGACTGATCTGAAACCTCATGAGTCCAGTCTGCAGAACGGCTAAATGCCCCTGCCAAACTGGCAGATCTCTGTTTCTTGCTTGGTGCCTTCTCTTTCAATCGAGAGGGCTCCCGTCTCCTTTTAAAGAGGGGGCTCTGAGAGGGGGATATGCCAGGTGAATGGTTCGGAGAACTCAGCTGCCTAGTGGTGGTTTTGACGTAGCAGGGGTTGATGAAAGGGTATGATTTAAAACATTTAGGAGGGTGCACCGGACTGCTGGCGACATCCTCTGAGGAACAAGTCCCATTTTTCATTTCCACAGAAAAGCCCTCCTCCACGGCTTCTCTGCTAGTAGACAAACTCCACTTCCTGTCTGTGGCCACGGCAACCTGATCCCCGCCTGCCTCTGCCAGCTCAGCCTCTCTTTCGCCACCTGTACCTTCAACAGCAACTCTTTCGGTCTCAGACTCCCCAGCCGGGGGTGGGAAATTAAAGACCGAACTGCCCAGCAGAGTCCCCTGTTCTGTAATTGCAGCATTGGGAGTAGAGAAGAAGTCTCCTCCTTCTTCAGCAGGTTGTTCCTCTTCTGCTGGCAATTGCTCAGGTGCTTCCTGCATCTCAAACACACTGCTGCAGGAGTGCCCCATTCCATTTGCCTTTCCTGACACTTCAGCCTGACAGCTTGGGGCATATTTTGTGACTTCTGATTTAGCAGAGACTGGCTGCTCGGTATCCGGGCTACTGTCTTTGTCACTGCCGAGTGAAAGAAACCTTTCAAAATCTAATGGGGTTGCTTGAGAATTAGCCATGTGTAGGACCATTGTTTTGGTGCCCTGCTGCTCAGTTCCAATGTTAATTGTCCCCTGCTGCTGCTGCTGCTGTTGCAGTCTAATTGCCTGCTGAATATCAGAAAGCAAATCCTCTTGTTCGGTGGCTGAATGAAAACTGTATATATCCGTATCTGAGCCGGAGCTGGTTCTTTGTCCATCTTGCGGCTCGGCAGCTGCAGGGCGAGTTTCATTTGTATTTTCAAAATGCTCTGCATCGGTATCTGAGAGACCCCCTTCATCTGCAGAAATGCTTATATCAGGAGTTTTGGTGAGAATGGAGTGAGCACTGTCTAGCTCTCCTGTGTGCCCGGCCTGGCTTTCTAAAACATCCTCTCTCGAGCTGCTGGTTCCATCTTTAGACTTGGAGAGGTTTTTCCTGATGCGCAGATTGGAAAACACAGATGACCTGGCTTCAGACTTGCCCTTCTTCTTCGATTCTCCCCCTTTCCCGTGCCTGCCCAGGGTCTTTTTGCTCCCCCCTCCTTTCTTTGTGCCCTCAGCATCCCTGGGCCCAGAAGCATCCTCACCGCCTTCGTGTACATCACCTGCATTCCTCTTCAGCTTCCCATCTTGGTTCCCCATGGTGTTCAGCAGTAGGGCAACGTCAGGAATCAAGCCATGGTGCTTGGCTTCATTCACCTGGGCAGGCAGGCAGGCCCTCTCAAGTAATCCAGGGTTGTTTTCGAGCGGTGGTGATGCAAGGGAAGCGAAGGCTTGCTCTGACTCTCTCGCGGCTGCTCGAGCTGCCTTTTTGCATAATGTGCTGCCAGCATAAGGCTCCTCTGAGACATGCTCAGTACAGCACTGAGAGATGCAGACAGCTCCTTCCAATGGCAGCTCCTGGTACCGTTGCCTTTTCAGCCTTCGTCGGCTCTCCTCCTGGCTCTCGTTCTGGCTAGATGGAAAGAATTGTGTCTGGACAGCAGGAACTTTCTCCTCCAGTGCCTCAGTCTCCTGCATTGTGAACTCTCAGGTCAGTCTGAGACAAAAGTGCCTCAGGAGTCAGGACTTCAACACTTTCCTTTCCTGGAATTGGGTGTTGGGGAAGAGGAGAAGGAAGAAAAAGGACAAAAAAAGAAAGGGGGACAAAAAATATTAATATTAAACCTCATGATCCATACCAACTTTCTGGTTATTCAACAGGAAATCTGGGACATTATGTTGCTTTCTGTAGTACAGTAAAATTGATTAATTCAGTCAAGCTTTTTTTTTGTAAACAGTATTAATTTGTTCTTGCTTTTATGAGAATCAGCTGTCCATTTATTTTCTCTCTTTGAAACACAATCATACCGATTCTAACACACATGCAGACACACAGTGCTGTACTTTAAATATGTAAACAGCAGCATCTAAGTGTGCAATAGTTCCTTGGAAGAAGTGCTATAGGTTAATGATACTATAGATTACTGAGGGGTTTGGTCTAACTGACCACTCAGAAAGACATTTGTATTCCAAGGGGGTATGAATAATGATAGTTCTCCAAGGGAAAAGCCTCATCAATATTCAGCACACACTCATTATCCCTTAAAAAAAAAAAGAGAGAGAGAGAGAGAATAAGCATATTTGGTACCAAAAATAAATGATGCCAACATGCACCAAAAACACAAACCTAAAATAAGGTGCATCTCAAAGATTTCCACACTAACAATACTGTGTTGCTTCCACAAGCTTTATAAAAGCTACATTTAAAGTTTGATATGGCTTGTTAAATATAATTGTGCATGTTCAGCCTTCCTGTAAAAACACCACATAGTCACATCTTGCTTATTGTGAAATTACATTATTTTAAATTAATGTATCTGAAAAGAAAAAAAACTTGACATGTAAATCAAACTAAACTTTATCTCTTTCATTATCTTACAGCAGTCTTCCTGAGAGTTGTAATTGTTAGAAAAAACCAGATTTAGACTTTTAAAATATTTAGCAGCAGACTTGAGAAATATATCCATGTTCATATTGACCATTTTAGAGTCATTTCTCCTGACTTCGATGAGTCAGACACTAGTTTTTAATAGGAGGCTGTTTTTTCGTTAAATATGCATTTTTAATAGGACACTGCTATAAATATGCATATAATTTAAAAAAGTTAATACAAAGCCCCCAATCAATATACATGAACATCCTGCAGATTAATATTATTCTTTTAGTATTTGCAAATTCGTAAGTTACACTGCTTACCAATCATAAAATGTGCTGATTTCTGAAATCTGATTTTAAAGAGTTGCAGCTTTATCTGAAATTGATGTTAGCATAATAGCTTAAAGAAATTAAAGTAAATCTACAGACAGTAGGGCAGCTCAATGATCTTGGATTTTTAGTCTAAACAACTTTCAGGAGCCCTGCTTTGGACAATGCCTAAAATGGAATTTATTTCTGCTATCCTAACATGATATGCATTTCCTAGTAATAAGAAGCACCGTTTTAGTGTAGAAAGTATAGGCTTTAAAATAGAAATAATAAAATAATGTAGTCCTGTGTGAAAGCTATTGATCATAAAAACATCCAAAACCAGAAAAAAGGCAGTGACCACTTAAGTCAGGGGTCTTCAAACTTGGCCCTTTTATGACTTGTGGACTTCAGCTCCCAGAATTCCTCAGCCAGCATGCCTAGCTGAGGAATTCTGGGAGTTGAAGTCCACAAGTCATAAAAGGGTCAAGTTTGAAGACCCCTGACTTAAGGCTTCTACGCAATATCAGTTTGGGGGAATGTTTCCTGAGAGTTGAGATTTCATCTACACCAAGCATGTCAAACTCGTGATGTCATGTGATGGCATGCGAAGTATCACGACTTTTTCCCCATTGCCGGCAATGGGGTGGGCGCGGTTTTGGCATGACACATCCGGCTCATGGGCTGGCAGTTTGACATGCCTGATCTACACTATGCACAGGATCAGTAACTTGCATGTATATCCAGCTATAAAGGTTTAGCCTTAAAAGTAAACTTGATTCCTTATTTTACTTTATTTTATTTTATTTTTTGCTTTGTTTTTATTGATATTTTGTCAAGAGACAGCAACTAAGCAAGAGAAGGGCCTATTCTTTTTATATAGCTTTCTAGTTAGCAGAAGTGAACAGATATCCTCAATCTAGGTATATATTCAATTGACCTTACTAAACTACTAAACTAAAGTGTTGATTGAAGAGTAATCAATGTTGTTTCAGTAAAGTTACATAATAAACAAACTGAGACCTTGGAAGACAGGTTTTTGAAGCTGAAAATTACTTTTTCATTGAAGAAAAAATGTCAGACTATTTCTGAGTAGAAATGCTTAGGAAGTGCAATAGTAAAAGAGGAGATGATTTCTGGATCAGCTGATTAATTGCATTTATTTTGTGTAGCTGTGTAAAGGCTCAAGCACAAAATATCAATTTGATGTTAAGATCCATCTGAATAACTGGTTAGAATCAAAGCCTAAGTGAGCACAAGCTTAAAATATTAATATAAATAAAAAGGTTCTTACTTGGGTAGATTTTGTTTTTTAAAAACTCCAGTGAAATACGCACACATCTATGTAGAAAGACTACTTTCTCTTTTGAAACAAAAGAGCTGAGAGAAAAAAATCAAACTTTTATCTCCCTGGGTTACTGTGAACTTACAATTAAGGTTTTAAAACCAGAAATGGGACCTCAACAGTTACTTTTTACCTAACTTAAGCTCGAGTAAATGGAACTGAAGGAACAATCAACAGCTATGACCTTTTGATATTCAGCATAGTAGTAGACTCTTAACTTTCCAAATTGATAGAGTAAATGGAGAGGAGTAGAGATGGATCATATACAGCAGGGGTCTTCAAACTTGGCAACTTTAAGATTTGTGGACTTCAACTCCCAGAATTCCTCAGCCAGCCTTAAGTCTTAAAGACTTAAAGTGGCTAAGTTTGAAGACTCCCCCCATATACAGTATATAAATATTCTACCGACAGGTGCTTCTTTTCTTAGGCAATAAGCTCTCTTGATGTCAGCTAACTATGGTGGTCATGGTTACCAATTCCCTCCATTAAATCTCCAAAGACAAATTCCTTAACATGGAGTCTAAGAAACATCCACACGCCTAAGTCTTATATCTCTTGTGGGTTGGAGTGAAAAAAATGTTATGCAACAAAAAATATTATGCTTTAATTAGTTTGATCTATGCAAATGCGATATTTCTCAGTACAAATTATAATAGCCTTTTTCACAAATCATACCAACATTATTGGTTTATTTCTTATTTAGTGTAATTTATGAAAACATCAATTTTATGTTAGCATTATGTACAAGCCACAATGGCTTATTCAACAAAGCATGATTAAAATGTATCCTAATAAAGTTTTTATGTGAATCAGATCATAGAAAATATGGATACTGGTGAAGACAACTAGGAATACTAGCTATCAATAGACATCTTAGACTTGTTTCATTTTCTATTTTAAGAGAAGATCTGAGCTAAAGGTAGAAAATATGTTGCAATACCTCATCATTATCAATAGTAACAAGCTTGCTTAAGATTATTCAAATGAACGTTTGAAAGCTCCTTTTAGTTTATTTAATTTAACTAAATAACTTTTAATTCTAAATTACTAATGCTACTGGAGCCTCAGTTACACCATAGCATTTACACACATATAACACTGGGAAGCCATAGATGGTCTGCTATCTTAAACATTTGGGGAGATGAATTTTAGGAAAACATCAATACCAAGTGAAACACAAAAGGAAAAGGTTTATTTTTTTTCCTAATCCCTCTGTTTAAAGAATAATATTAACAGTACCACCAATTCTCAACTTTGTTTTGTTAAATATTTTCTGTTAATTGTAATGAAAAACTTTGTACCAATTTAATGTTTGGCAAAAATATATTCTTGGTTCTTAACAGGTTCAGACTTAATCCTTTAAATTCACTCTCAGAATACATATGTATAACTGTAGAGAAGCATCATTCAGTCAAACTTACATGTTGAAGGGGCTTTCACAGATACAACTCCGCCTTTAAACCCAGAGGTAGCAATCTTCCTTCTCATCATTTTTACTTTAGATTGGACTGCCCTTTCCCAGAGTGAGCAGGAACAGGAAAAGGCTTCGTCATTTTTGTTGCCTTCACCTGGAATAGGTAAACCAGCATTTCCTGGAATGAAGCCAAGTCTAAGCAGACCCACACTTTCCTTATAGGGTAAACAATTATGAGCAAATAGCCAAAATAATACAAGCATTGCTTTGAATATAGCTTCATAGTTCTAGATATCAACTTTGTTGTTACCCAGTAATCAAGAAAGGAAAAACACAAGGTAGAAAAAAATGCTGCAAGCATATATCACTTTGAAATGAATTTAACAGCACAGCAACAAAGCACTAAAAATAGAAATTAGCCAAATACAGCAAAAAGAGCTATACTTAGCTAAATTTTTTGAGGTTTGAAGCATGCTTAGATTCTAGCAGATATTTTAGTAGGATACTCAAGCAGTTCTTTAGTAGGATGGATACCACCCTCACACACACACACACACACACTTCTCACAACCTAATTACTTGTAGTAAGTGCAGACGACCAAAAGACTGCACTGAAGGAAACTCATCTGCAGTTTTTCACATATCAGCAGCTGTTTTCCTTACTACGTTAGGCTGTGGAGTTCCTCATGATGTTTTATTAAATAAACCACAATTAGCTGGCTTTAATCAGTGGATTCATACAAAAAAGTAAAGCATGAGCAAACAAACATGTGCATACAGTATATTAAGGTGTAGTAATCTTCACATTGTTTCTTAAATTAACTAGGATCTTGTAACACAAAATGGATAAATAATGGTTTTTGTAAACTCAGCTGTGGTTTCTTTAGCTTCTGTTTAGTATGTTTTGTTAACAAAGAACAACTTGCTTTAAATGTAAGGTATCTTTTTCGTTTTTTTCTGATAGATATTAGTCAAATTAGAACTCTTTTGTTTTTTAAAAAATAAGGCCTATATGTAATTTCATGTGACAATCTGAAACAGTCTTTAATAATAAATATTTTAATAAATTCAAGCCAAAACCAATGGCAACGTTTACATTAACTTTGGCAGGATTAAATGACATTCCTCATGGAGACTTTATAATTAGGAAACATATTAAAGAAAGACTTGATATGATTGTCTTTGTCTGAACTGTTAATCGTAGTAGAGGTTATTCTTCTGAGTGGAGGTTTTTAAATTATGATAAATAGAAAATTTCTGTTTTATAATGCTAAAACTAGTTTCAGGTCAGGAGTTTATTATATCATATTTAGGGGCAGCCTGATTCACAATTCCAGAGAATATTGTACTGCATTCAGCATACCATGCAAATCAAGGCAACTTGCTAAATATGGTTTGACTTACCATGGGCAATTGTGTCATTTGAACACAGTGAATGTTACTTGTTCTTCAGGCTTCCTGCAGTCAGAAAAAGGCTGAGGTAAAAAGGAAACCGATATAATCATTTTTGATCTAGATCAGGGGTAGGCAACCTCGGCTCTTTTATGACTCATGGACTTCAGCATAGCTGACTCATGAATTCTGGGAGTTGAAGTCCATGAGTCATAAAAGAGCCGAGGTTGCCTACCCCTGATCTAGTACAAAAGTAAAGAAATCAGGTGCATCTTATTGATTCACATTTCCACAGAATTCACATTTAAAATTACTTTTAGAGAAATGCTCTCATTTAATTGGGGAAAAACATCAGTATCACTTGAATGATTCTCATGATGATGCAATAACAATTTATTTTAAAAGTAGGTTTTCACAAACTGTTGCCTGTGTAGTAACATATACATCCTGCTGTTTCTAGATCATTAAAACTATTGACATTATTGACATGAAGCTATAAAAAGAACTTGCAAGTCAGAAAATACAATAGTTAATTGTATTCAATGCACAAACAGTTGGCTAGTTTACGGTTCACTGTGTTGCATAAAGCCAGTTGAGTGAATTGACTCAGTACACTTGGTTAAGCATTCATGAATGAATATGTTAATATTATTTGTCTTGCCTTTCATTGGTACACTTGGACATTCAAGTCTGTTTGGAAACTAAAATTCTCAGGAAAAGGCTAGAGGCCAACACTGCCCAGCCATGAGAATCCAACAAGTTGGATTTTCTCACTATACCTTAATAGTGCTGTACCTGGTAGAGCGTCCTAGAAGAAAAATATTTTTGAGTTTACTAGAATTATAACCCAATTTTCTTTCACTTCGAGTCTTGTTAAATAAACTCTAAGAGATAAAATACGGGACACTCCACTCATCCCGACCCTCTTTGACTAACCAGAGTTCAGTGTATAGTCAGATTATGAAATTGGTGATCTGATGTTATCGGAAATTTCTAGAGAACTTCTATTTTCTTTTTATGGTAGGAAACGGTGTTTGAAACAAGTCACAAATAGAACCAGCGGTGATTTCCTGCTGACTCCTAAGATCCAATTATTAATAAGATCACCATTTTTTTCTTCATTGTTTGTCAGTCCTTCAAGGTAGATTGGACTAAGAAATCAAAGCCATGTAAGTCTGTACTACTTTTATTGTAAAACTTCACTAATTGTCTTGAAAATCTGCATGTGCTTTCCCCTCCCTCCCTTATCTTCATGTGAACAAGGGAGGAGCCTGTCTGAGACATTTACTTATATTCCTTTCTTAGTCTGGGCTTAGACCCCTTTTATCTGACCTTTGCCTTCTTTCTCTACTGTAGTTCAAGGTTGAACTGTGGGGGTCCTAGGTACTCCTTAGGTTGGTTGTTTGGGTTGTTTTCTTGAAGATGTTTCATTACCCAACTAGATAACACCATCACCACTGATAATGTTACCTAGTTGGATAATGAAATGTCTGCAAGAAAACAAACTCAGGGAACACATAGAATCTTCCTCCTGTCTTTCAGATTGTTCCTTTTGCCCTCTACATTGCCCTACCATTCATTCATTCATTCATTCATTCATTCATTCATTCATTCATTCATTCATTCATTCATTCATTCCCTTATTTTTATAAATAACTCAAGGTAGGGAACATATATAATACTCAGTTGAGCTGAGATACTCATCCAGCTGCTTTTCATATCTAAGGTAGGATTAGAACTGTTAGTCTCCTAGTTCACGGCTTTTCAACCGGTGGTATGCGGTGGTACATTGGCACCTGGCAGGTGGTATACAGTCCTACCCAGCCCAGCCAAGTGTAGTGGGGGAGAGAATGAGCCAAAGCGGCGCAGCACAGGACTTGCTGTGAGAGAGCTGTAGGCTGGATGGGGTGAGGCAAAGGCCTCAGGTTCGGCACTTCCGGCTCACCGGGAAGAGAAAGGAGGAGGAGGGGGATGGAGACAGGAGAGGCTATAAAAGGAGGCAGTTTGGGCAGGAGAGGGAGAGGAAAAAGAAAGATGCAGCGTTAGGAAGATGAGTCAGCTGGATCTGCACTGAAGGGAAAAGAAGGAGGAGGGGAGGGAGATAGGAGATCAAACAGGCTGGCTGGGAGCTGATCTACAACTTCTCTGGCAGTCATCAGTGCCGGACATGCAGACAGGTGGCAGTGACAAACAGGCAAGAAATGCAGCAGGGGAGGGGTCGCCCTCCATGAGGAATGAAGAAAGGCAGCATTATACTCTGGTTTCTCTTCAGATCGTATAAATCTTTCGCCTTTTACTAAAGATTTCCGTGGAGAGGAGCATTTATGAGTTTTCGTAACCATTCGAATGAACAATTTTTATCAATATGGAGAAGATGGATTGTTTATATTCAAAAGAAGCATAGAGTGGTAGAATATAATTTAGGTTTTTAGATTCTTTTTTATTTTGTTTACTTTTTCTATCTTTTCGTGTAGATTAAGATATCTTGTGGAGTTAGAGATATTAGTATTTGCTTACTTTTATATGAATATTATCCTGGGATTAGGTTTGGGAAGTCCGGGGGGGGGATGGGGGTTTTTTATTTGTTATTGTGTTTACTTATGTTATGATTGTTTTTTATGATGTAAAATAATAAAACTTCTTTGGAAAAAAAAGAAAAGAAAGGCAGCATTGACTGGAGATGAGGCATGGAGGGAGGGAGGAAGGAAGGAGATGGCAATGAGAAAGAGGGAGGAGAGAAGAGGAGGGAGGGAGGGAAACAGAAACAAAAGAAGTGTTGGAAGGAAAAGCCGGGGGGGGGCTTGCTTTCCAGCCGGGAGGCTATACCTTTAAAAGAAAAGAAAAAAAATGAAGCACTGCCATTTGAAATAAGCGAAAGGAAGCTGGTTGCTCCAGCTGCTCGAGAGGAGATGTTTATTGGCAGAAGCGAAGTACCGTTTCAGCAGTTCGGTTCTGGATCAGCTGAACAGCAAACCAGGAGAGTGGAAGGATTCTTATGTGATTTTGTGACTTTGAAGTTCTGGGATTTGTGCAATGTGGGCTTTGTGTTCTTAAGGAGTATTTGGCAATTTCTATTGTGGCTGATGGCTCGTGTTGGATTTTGGGGTGAGGGGTTATTGGTTCTAATTCAGGCATGTCCAAAGTCCGGCCCGTGGGCCATTTGCGGCCCGCGTTCCGGTTTAATATGGCCCTCTAACAGCCCTCCCTGCTCTGGGTAAATGCGGCCCTCCCACCACCCTCCCTATCACAGCGGTTCTCACCCTGTGGGTTGCGACACTCTGAACGGCGTTCCGGCATTTTTTTTTTGATGGATTTTTTCAACTTTTCCATGAGCTGTGCTACTCCCTCTATTCTATTGGCTTTCGAACACCAATAGAATAGACTCTATTATTTGAATAGACTCTTAATCTATTGGCTTTCGAACGCCAATAGGAATTGTCCAGACCTGGCCGTTAAAGGCTGTTTGTGCACTGCTGAGCGCGCCAAANGAAGCTCAGAACAATTTATTTGAGATTCTCTATTTTATGCCCTGTGAGGTGAGTAGGGCTGGGAGAAACTGATTGGTCTCAAGTCACATATCAGTCTAATACTTTAACCACTAGACTACAATAGCCTTTAAAGATCTCTTGAAGATAAAAGAAAAATACCATCCTTTGCCACAAACTTTGTTCAGTGTTTATCTTGGTCAGGTGATTTCCTGCTGACTCCTAAGATCACCATTTTTTTCTTCATTGTTTGTCAGTCCTTCAAGGTAGATTGGACTAAGAAATCAAAGCCATGTAAGTCTGTACTACTTTTATTGTAAAACTTCACTAATTGTCTTGAAAATCTGCATGTGCTTTCCCCTCCCTCCCTTATCTTCATGTGAACAAGGGAGGAGCCTGTCTGAGACATTTACTTATATTCCTTTCTTAGTCTGGGCTTAGGCCCCTTTTATCTGACCTTTGCCTTCTTTCTCTACTGTAGTTCAAGGTTGAACTGTGGGGGTCCTAGGTACTCCTTAAGTTGGTTGTTTGGGTTGTTTTCTTGAAGATGTTTCATTACCCAACTAGATAACATCATCACCACTGATAATGTTACCTAGTTGGATAATGAAATGTCTGCAAGAAAACAAACTCAGGGAACACATAGAATCTTCCTCCTGTCTTTCAGATTGTTCCTTTTGCCCTCTACATTGCCCTACCATTCATTCATTCATTCATTCATTCATTCATTCATTCATTCATTCATTCATTCATCCATCCATCCATCCATTCATTCATTCATTCATTCATTCATTCATCCATCCATCCATCCATTCATTCATTCATTCATTCATTCATTCATTCATCCATTCCCTTATTTTTATAAATAACTCAAGGTAGGGAACATATATAATACTCAGTTGAGCTGAGATACTCATCCAGCTGCTTTTCATATCTAAGGTAGGATTAGAACTGTTAGTCTCCTAGTTCACGGCTTTTCAACCGGTGGTATGTGGTGGTACATTGGCACCTGGCAGGTGGTACACAGTCCTACCCAGCCCAGCCAAGTGTAGTGGGGGAGAGAATGAGCCAAAGCGGTGCAGCACAGGACTTGCTGTGAGAGTGCTGCAGGCTGGATGGGGTGAGGCAAAGGCCTCAGGTTCGGCACTTCCGGCTCACCCGGAAGAGAAAGGAGGAGGAGGGGGACAGAGACAGGAGAGGCTATAAAAGGAGGCAGTTTGGGCAGGAGAGGGAGAGGGAAAAAAAGATGCAGTGTTAGGAAGATGAGTCAGCTGGATCTGCACTGAAGGGAAAAGAAGGAGGAGGGGAGGGAGATAGGAGATCAAACAGGCTGGCTGGGAGCTGATCTACAACTTCTGTGGCAGTCATCAGTGCCGGACATGCAGACAGGTGGCAGCGACAAACAGGCAAGAAATGCAGCAGGGGAGGGGTCGCCCTCCATGAGGAATGAAGAAAGGCAGCATTGACTGGAGGTGAGGCAGGGAGGGAGGGAGGAAGGAAGGAGATGGCAATGAGAAAGAGGGAGGTAGAGAACAGGAGGGAGGGAGGGAAACGGAAAGGAAGGAAGTGTTGGAAGGAAAGGGGGGGGGCTTGCTTTCCAGCTGGGAGGCTATACCTTTAAAAGAAAAGAAAAAAAAATGAAGCACTGCCATTTGAAATAGGCGAGAGGAAGCTGGTTGCTCCAGCTGCTCGAGAGGAGATGTTTATTGGCAGAAGCGAAGTACTGTTTCAGCAGTTTGGTTCTGGATCAGCTGAACAGCAAACCAGGAGAGTGGAAGGATTCTTATGTGATTTTGTGACTTTGAAGTTCTGGGATTTATGCAATGTGGGCTTTGTGTTCTTAAGGAGTATTTGGCAATTTCTATTGTGGCTGATGGCTCATGTTGGATTTTGGGGTGTGGGTTACTGGTTCTAATTCTATTGCTCTGCTATTGTTAGCTGTAAGGGATTTTGAAGTATTTTTGTCCTGAATGGATTTTGCCTGTAGCATTCATTTACTTATGAATGGAGCCATTTAGGGAGGCTGCCTTAGCCGGCAGCCAGTACTTGCTACATTTTTTTTCTTAACTTTTTTTTCTAGCCAGTAGCTAATTCTTAAAGGGGAATGCTCCTTTTTAGGCTAGTTCCCTCACTGGCTTGTCTTTTCTGTCTCTGGAGGCTTTTCCTTGTTTGATAAATATTTGGAAGAGGGAAAATATGGGCAGGGGTCTCAAATTCTTCCTTCAGAAGGAAGAAGATGGGAATGAGAAAGAGGGAGGCAGGGAAGGAGGGAGGGAGGGAAACAGGAAGGAAGAGAGGAGGGAGGGAGATTGGAATGAAAGGGAGGGAGGGTCTGAAGGAAGCCCTGCCTTAGCACTTGGCCACCAGCGGCCCTGCCATTGACATTGTTTGTCAAAAGGTTGCAAAAGGGGATCACATGATCCCAGGACACTGTGACCATCATAAATATGAATCAGTTGCCAAGCATCCAAATATAAATCACATGACCCTGGGGATGCTGCAACGGTCATAAGTGTGAAAAATGGTCATAAGTCACTTCAGTGCCATTGTAACTTTGAACAGTCACTAAGCGAATTGTTGACACCTTGCTAGGTGGTACTCGAATACTGCCATATCCTAAAAGTGGCACAATTGGTGAAAAGGTTGAAAAGCCCTGTCCTAGTTTATAGCCTGATGCCTTAACTGCTAGACCAAACTGACTCTTTTATCAACAGAAACATAGTTCACAGATCAGAGTTTATTTTAGCCATACTTTACTCTGGAAGCCTTAGTAGCTTGGTTCACACATAATATTAAATTAAAATGACAGCTTATACAGCATATTAATGAGTCTACTCATCATGTTAACAAAAAAATTACACTGTAGACAATTATTTTATTTTGAGCATCCATTTAATAGCTATATATTTTTATTCAATAAGTTTTTTTTATGTCTCCTGTTGATTGTCCTATTTTTACTGTTATATGATTTTATTTCAACCCATCTCACAAGACTGTTGTGAGGAAAAATAAGAGGCAGAAGTATTAAGCATGTTTGCTGCCTTGAGTTGCATGTTAAAAAGGCAAGATAAAAGTCTAGCAATAACAACAACAAGAATTATAGGTATAAAGCACACAACTAATATGCCCTCTGGTATTTGAGGCGTCTTTTAATGCATTTATGGTTAGACCAGTGTTTCTGAACCTGGGGAACCTTAAAATGTGTGGACTTCAAACAAAAAAAAAGGGGGGGTTGTGTGTGTTAACTTTTGCCACTTTTTGAAGATAAAAGAGAAGGAAAATTAATTAGTTGTCAATGTTACCGAGTTTGTTATCATGTGGGTGGTTCTTCTTCTTCTTCTTCTTCTTCTTCTTCTTCTTCTTCTTCTTCTTCTTCTTCTTCTTCTTCTTCTTCTTCTTCTTCTTCTTCTTCTTCTTCTTCTTCTTCTTCTTCTT